TCTTGTCAGGGTGCCTTTCTTCACATTCATCCACCAAATCATAGTTTTCTTAGTGGATCTTCTTTCACCTAGTTTTTTCCTTCTAATAAACCTTGAAAATACTCTTTCTATCTCTCTACTACTTATTCCATAGGTATCTCTCTTTGCTTCTGTGGTGTTATGATTTGATTGCTTTGCCCTTCTTCTATCTTTACACCCAGACAGATATAATGCGGTATCCGCCCGATTTATCCATTGTTCTTTAATTCGTTTTTAAAGTCATGCTCTTCTGGGGCCTATATTTCCACAAGAACTTCGACTTTGTCTTAGCTCACATTGACCTGGTCTACTCAGGGTTGTCTTTATTATACAATATGTCTTCTATATACAACTAGACCCATTTTTCTTACGGAATAGAAAAAGTTCTAAAAAAAGGAAATGTTGGATCCTCCTTTTATTGCAAGAAACCAATTTCCCATGAAATTCCTGTTCATTTTTCTGTTGAACCATGATGCTCATTCCCCTTTTTTTAATTAAAAACGCAAAATACCACCCCACGCACAGCTTGGATGTTGCTTCACAATTGACCTGACGAGTCGCTCAGCAACAAGAACCCGACACTTATCTTGGATGTTTCTTTGCTGGAGCGTTACGCCCTACACAACCCATAAGTTAAACACAAAACTTACTCTTTGCTTCTACTAGTTTTTTTTTACTTTCTTTACTTTTCTTCTACCTTTTCACCAAAATTTCTTCAGGCTCTCTGCTTTGCTGCTAATGCTGTAACTAGTTCTTGTATTTTTTACGCTTGTGTTATGTGCGATAGTGCTCACACATTTCTTCACTTCACTTCTGGAAACTCTTCCATTACTAATGCTTTTTTTAAACATAATACTAGCAAACTGTTAGGCTTATGCGCATTCAATAAATGCTTTTTTAGCACTGCGGCATCGCCAACGTTTGGTTTGGTTGCACAGGGTGGTCCAAATTGCCATAACTTTGTTATTATTAAAGATAAACGATTTTGGTCTTAGGGCACTTTTTTATGTAGAATCCGTCGCGACTCACAGTGTGTATACAGGGTGTTTGGTTTTTTATATACGACCCTAAACTACAGTTTTTCATATAGACCACCCTTATACTTTGGAGTTTTTGAAAAGACCGTTTGATGTATCACTTATTATATTTATATTAAATATTATTGGCAATATTGATTTTTATGCATTAAAGTATAATTTGACTGCAGACATCTAGGTTTCCATGGGGAACAAAAGATGATGATTTCTTGGTTATTTGGAAATGTTTATTCGTTCCAAATATTTTTAATTTTAAATAACACACAAAAAACAAAGGACGTGAAAACTCATAAAACAAATAATCAATATAATATATAAATAAATAATGCAGATAATCAAGAAATTGTCCTGTCATCTTTTGTTCACCATAGAATCCTAGATGTGTGCAATAAAAGTTATGTATAACGTATAAAATCCACTATTAGAAATAACATTTGATATAAAGCCTTGGCTGAAACCCCGCCCACTCAAAAATAAAGGCAAAATAAATAAATAAATAAATAAATAAATAAATAAATAAGTGAAACATGAAAATTTAGAAAATTTTACACTCTTTTCAAAAACAAATATATAGGATGGTCTTTTTTTGACCTATAAGCACTAATGATTGTGGCCATTTATGGCCCCTTAGTTCTACTAACGGTATTCTTGCTTAACATCTGTGAATTTTGTAGATTACGCACCCGACTTCACATACGGTTCAAATTTTCTTTAACTGGATTGTTCTTTAGGTTTCTAGGTCTCCTAGAATCTCTAACTTCGCACTCTATAATTTCACAGTAATGGGCCATGTGTTCTATCTACCATGTTTCTGAGCTAACGGCACCTTGTTCTAGGTGCTTTTTAAATGCTTGTATTCATGTTCTTCAGCTTGGACTTGTTTCTCACCATATTTTCTTTTCATAGCTTTCCATTGACTGATACCTTCCTCTGGGAGTTTGCTACTAATTCTTAACAAATCTCTATCATCACTCGTTTCATTTAATAAACCAAGCATAAATGAGGCGCTAACAAGAACAATCTTTACATTACAAAGCGATAGTACCCGAAGTTTCGTTCTCACTGGTTCGTTCCTCAGTATCTGCACCACAAGGAGAGAACATTTTTTCGGAGTACTTCGGTCTTGTTTTATTCATATTTATGGTCATTTTCATTTTTTTGTTTGACGTATAAAGCAAGTGAGATCCTTTAATTTGGCAGGTCTTACTGTTTAGAATGAAATATTGGGGCAAGAAATTCGGCCACAACTGAAACTCTCATCTTTCTTTAGCTAAGAAGAGTTCTCGGTGTATCCTCGCACACATCCCTTTTTTCTTTTTGATATGGGTCTTTACTCGTTTTTGAATGACGTCGACAGGTGTTTGATGGTAGGTACTCACCTCTCGCATCAAAAAAAGCTTGTAATTTTTGAAACAATTGCAAACTACTTCCATTTTGTAACACTGCTACTTCATAATCGAAGATCCTTATGGTATAATTTTCCATAGCGAATTACTTTCAAAAGTATTTGCTAGCCAGGTCAGTGGTCGAGGTTTGCAATGAGTGCTTGGGGCCTTTTTAGATCCTTCTACCCATACGGTATTATGACAAAAAGGATATTTCTGAAAATATAATGACTGAGAAACATCTAGTTCAACGGTTTTTGTCCTTACCTCGGGTTCCTAGATTTGAATTCGTTAAATTTTTTTTTGCGCAAAATTTGAATCGTAACAAATGGACTTATTCAAAGTCCTGTCTTTCATAAATAATTTAAATGTAGCATCTACTGTTCAATGATAAGCAGGGCCGGCTTTAGGCGTAAGTGGTGTAACCCTTCGCTTACGGTTACGGCGCAGAAAAGAAGGGGAGCAAAAATTTCTCATATTTAATGATTACCGTATCACAAATACAAACGCCGTTTCTATTTTTAAGACCAAACGATCACGCATAATCGCATTACTACGATGTAAGATAAATTGAAAAAAATCCTATTTTTCATGTCTTATAGGTATAGACACTAGGTTGTTAAGAGTCATATCCTTCAAGGATACAACTGGAGAATTGGATATTCCTGCCGAGATGCGTAAAATGCCATCTAGAAGATTTAGACATAAGCCACATGCAAGCGAAAATTTACCCTTCCCCGCAACTATTTCGGAATACGAACTCATTCTATGCAAAAAATGCAAACAACAGTCAATTTAGTCTAGGCGATAGAGACTGTAAAATTGGCAAACTGGACATTTTGAGGTGGAAAAGAAAAAAATGGTGGAATATGTTCAGTTAGGTGTCAGAAACAACATATTAAAAATCCCACCCCCCAGACCCTGTGGTAAAAGCTCCAGCCACCCCACCACCCCCCAAAAACCGTGTTTTCGCACTTTTTGGCTGATATCTCGCGATCTATGAGGTCTATATGAAATATTTTTAGATGAAAATATTTCTCGTGAAATTCCATACAAGGTAGATACTCAGAAGTTAGCCTAGGTGTACCTCTTAGCCTAGGAAATTCATAAAAGGAGGCGAAAATCATCAATTTTCGTGGCTTTTTGCGGTTTTTTGCAAATATATCGCTACTTTTAGGGCTAGATGAAATATTTTTAGCTGAAAATGCTCCTCGTGAAATTTTTTACAAGGTAGATACTCAGAAGTTAGCCTAGGTGTACCTCTTAGCCTAGGAAATTCATAAAAGGAGGAATTTTCGTGTTTTTTTGCGGTTTTTTGCAAATATATCGCGACCTTCAGGGCTAGATGAAATATGTTTAGCTGAAAAAGCTCTTCGTGCAATTTCATACGAGGTAGGTCACTGAAGAGTTGACGTAAAGTCACCTTTCACTTTCAACTTTCATGTGTGAGGAAATATTCATTGTAAAACAAAGTATTTCTATGTACCATTTATTCACATAAAATAGTTATTTGTACAACTAGTTTTGAAAGTGATACATTTTTTCATGAATTTTCAATTTGATTAATGAGGGCGAAGCCCTAGTTAAGCAAGCAAATTCATGGAAAAACGACACTTTCAACACGTGTTGTACACGAAATTTTTTTGCATAGTGATCCATAATAACCCACAATTGAATAATTTGATTGACATACGCGATTTACTGCCACTCAAAAGTGGATGCTATTGTTCATAGACAGGACTAAACTCCATGGAAATGCATAGTAAAATTCGTGAAAAAATTACCACTTTCCATACGATTTTTCGTTAATTCTGATAATTTAATTACTATTTAAAAAACAGTATTTTCATATCACAATATTCACACATTCATTTATACGTCAACGTAATCATTACCCTCTGCAGATTCCACTTCTTCAGCCTCTTCGACGTCCTCTAGTGGTAGTGGGTCGTCTGGAATTACCGACTCGTAGTTCTCCTCGTCTTCCGCTTTACCTGCATGGGTACCCTGAAGAGACGACGTGGCATTTAGGCACGATGTTCCATGACACTGGACGCAGAATTCGTTCTTTAGACCTACAACAAGAAGCACTATGTCAAAAAAATTTTTTAATTAAGTATAGGAATATAATATTCTCTCGTATGTCCTAACTCCTAAGTGTCCGGTGGAGAAGGTTTGCCTGATTTTCTAAAACTGCAAGCAGTCATGCAACACGTTCACAGTCACATGAAATAAGTTTGAGGAGACTTTCCTGACGCCTATCAGAACGACTTCGGATCCAGCCCAGGAAAGTCTCGTCAAACTTATTTCATATGGCTGTGAACGTGGTTGCATGACTGCTTGCAGTTTCAGAAAATTAGGTAAACCTTCTCCACCGGACACTTAGAACACACGAGGGAATATTATTGTGACGTACAACGAACGGTAAATACGGGTTTATGATTATATATATATATGTGTGCGTATTGTGGAACAGCCTGTATTTACATAAAGAAAACTTCGCTAAACTAAATTGCTTATCGCCAAGTGCAGGCGGGCATTGTAAAGCATACACATTTTTGATTATTTTTATTTGAACGTGAGGTCTACTCAAGCACGTCGTATTTAAAGTGTAATTGCGTTCACCAAGCAATTAAGTAAGCAGTAATTTAGTCGCAATTACCTATATTAGACGGATAGCTGTATTATTGACATTCCTCACAAACTGGAAAGGATTGGGCTCGGATTTGTGGGGACGGAGTCTCATAGAGACGTGAGTGTTAATTATTCCTTTTGGACTTACAAAGTATTGCGGGTTAACCTATAAGCGTACTTTCTTACACAGTCCGGTTTACGGGATACCTCATTATTACGGTTGGAAATTGGCTAACCGTTTAAATCAGCCACTCCATCGGCTTACGAACGCTGCCATCAACGTGACTGAGTACTGGGATTATTCGCTAGCTCCTGGCCGTCTTGCCCGTACCTGCTGCACCACCTGCAACCCCAACATAGGATCTAGTTCATCTGTAATAACAATAGATACTCACCGGAAGCGGAACCATCTCATCTCTACCATACCTACCATCTGACCATAAGGGTGAGAGTTGCTGAGTGGTTGCGTGGATACGGGGATGTTTGTATTGTATGTTAAGGATTTGTTATATTATTTATTGTAGTCGTCCATCGCATGTTTTGTAATTAAATATATATATGCTAACGTACCTATCTGAGTGTCTTCCGAATAGTTGTTTTGATTTAGTCTTCCCCGGAGATTCGCCGTTACTCCGTTTATTGGTCCCAAACGGCGTGGCGCCCTGTATATATTGTATGTTTCCCCCTACCCCCTGAGTTGTCGAGCCGAAGAGCACGTTACATAATTCGGCGCCCAACGTCTTGCCCGTACCTGCCGCATCCACGCAACCACTCAGCAACGCTCACCCTTATGGTCAGATGGTAGGTATGGTAGAGATGAGATGGTTCCTAGTTCCTAGATCCTATGTTGGGGTTGCAGGTGGTGCAGCAGGTACGGGCAAGACGGCCAGGAGCTAGCGAATAATCCCAGTACTCATTCACGTTGATGGCAGCGTTCGTAAGCCGATGGAGTGGCTGATTTAAACGGTTAGCCAATTTCCAACCGTAATAATGAGGTATCCCGTAAACCGGACTGTGTAAGAAAGTACGCTTATAGGTTAACCCGCAATACTTTGTAAGTCCAAAAGGAATAATTAACACTCACGTCTCTATGAGACTCCGTCCCCACAAATCCGAGCCCAATCCTTTCCAGTTTGTGAGGAATGTCAATAATACAGCTATCCGTCTAATATAGGTAATTGCGACTAAATTACTGCTTACTTAATTGCTTGGTAAACGCAATTACACTTCAAATACGACGTGCTTGAGTAGACCTCACGTTCAAATAAAATAATCAAAAATGTGTATGCTTTACAATGCCCGCCTGCACTTGGCGATAAGCAATTTAGTTTAGCGAAGTTTTCTTTATGTAAATACAGGCTGTTCCACAATACGCACACCAAATCTTAATTAATAACGTCACATAATATTCGTATACTTAACTATAACATTTTTTTTGACATGCTTCTTGTTGTGGGTCTGAAATGTAATGAACTCTGCGTCCAGTGTCATGGAACATCGTGCCTAAATGCCACGTCGTCTTTTCAAAGTACCCTGGCAGGTAAAGCGGAAGATGAAGAGAACTACGAGTCGGTAATTTCAGACGACCCACTACCACTAGAGGACGTCGAAGATCCTGAAGAAGTGGAATCCGCAGAGGAGAATGATTGCGTTGAGATATAAATGAATGTGTGAATATTTGGTATGAAAATACTGTTTTTTACATAGTGATGAAATTATCGGAATTAACGAAAAATCGTACCTATGGAAAGTGGTACTTCACGATTTTTACTATGCGTTTCCATGAGTCCTGTCTATGAACAATAGCATCTACTTTTGAGTGACAGTAAATCGCGAATGTCAATCAAATTATTCAATTGTAGGTTATTATGGATCACTATGCAAAAAAATTTCGTGTACAACACGTGTTGAAAGTGTCTTTTTTCCATGAATTTGCTTCATTAACTCGGTCTTCGCCCTCATTAATCAAACTGAAAATTCATCAAAAAATGTATCACTTTTCAAAACTAGTTGTACAAATAACTATTTTACGTGAATAAATGGTACATAGAAATACTTTGTTTTACAATGAATATTTCCTCACACATGAAAGTTGAAGGTGAAAGGTGACTTTACGCAAACTCTTCAGTTACCTATCTCGTATGAAATTGCACGAAGAGCATTTTCAGCTAAACGTATATCATCTAGCCCTGAAGGTCGCGATATATTTGCAAAAAACCGCAAAAAAACACGAAAATTGATGATTTTCGCCTCCTTTTATGAATTTCCTAGGCTAAGAGGTACACCTAGGCTAACTTCTGAGTATCTACCTTGTAAGAAATTTCACGAGGAGCATTTTCAGCTAAAAATATTTCATCTAGCCCTAAAGGTCGCGATACATTAATTGCAAAAAACCGCAAAAAAACACGAAAATTGATGATTTTCGCCTTTTTTTATGAATTTTCTCGACTAAAAGGTAGACCTAGGCTAACTTTTCAGTATCTACCTTGTAAGAAATTTCAAGAGGAGCATTTTTCAACAAAAAATATTTCATCTAGACCTCATAGATCGCGAGATATCAGCCAAAAAGGGCGAAAACACGGTTTCTGGGGGGTGGTGGGGTCGCTGGAGCTTTTAGCACAGGGTATGGGGGGTGGGATTTTTAATATGTTGTTTCTGACACCTAACTGAACATATTCCACTGTTTTTTTCTTTTCCACCCCAAAATGTCCACTTAGATGTCTTTATCGCCTAGACTAATTCCCATAACAAGAACAAGTTTAATAACGATTGAATGTGTGCCATCATGGTCTAGTGGAATACTCGGCAGACTCGGCCCGGGTTCGATTCTTTGCATGAAAAGTTTTTTACAAAAATGCGTATCCGAATTCAGTGCAGTTGGACCTTTGGTTGTTTGTAGGTTTAAAATTGTCTTCTCAATATTTTTGGAAAAGTAAAGTTGTACAAAAATGCTGCGTAGTTTTGCGAAGAGATGACGCGTCTGCTATTTACTAATATGTGAGCGGGACATTGCCTGATGGGCGGTACGAAGTTTTCGGTTTCTGCGAGTAATCAATATGTTTTAAATAATATGAACATCCATGCCAAAAAGTCCCTTTATTAAGGCTATAGCGCGGCGGGCAGGGGCGCAAATTTTAGTGCTTGCGTACACGTAACTTTTGTCTTAAGCCGGTCCTGATGATAAGGTTTGATCGTGATGCACACCTGAAACTTTAACGGCTCAAAGACGCGATATCTTCGATATTACCACCATTTCTTAGTCAGGCTATGGCCGAAGTGAACTAGAAAGTACTTTTTTTTTATTAATATCTGCTGTAGTTTATAAATTTTGTAACAATTTGGTTTGAGCTACAAGACGAATTTACATTTTGGGTTACTTATTAGGTCACAGACAAGTAAATAATTAGAACACGTTGCTAGTTTGTCTATTTTTAAGTAAATTATGAATTCATCTCGTGCTAAATTTCGTGGTGTTTAAATCACTGTAATAATGGTGTAATAATTGCCGAGTTCAATCGTATATTGGAGATGTTACTCATCAATCTTTCCGAAGTTATCGTCAAATCGACCTTGGAAATAGGTACTTGAGTGTGCATTAGACTTCACATACAATTATATTTTGGAAAAGAGGAAAAGCATAGGCATATGAGTCTGCCACCACCACAGTCCATGATCAGTAAACCGCGACGGCAATTTTTCTGTCAAAATTTTATGAAATTTCGTGTAGTAGCATTAAATGCGACATCTTGACTAAATCATATTGTCATTTTGATTTTAATCGTTTTAAGAATGGCATCGAGTTGTGAATATTGCCAATGAAAGGAATAGGTATTTTTTACGACGTAGTAGTAATATAATTACTCTATAGTTGACTGAAACACCTAAATGCAGAATGTTATTGTTAAAGGAGAGATAGTGTACATATTAAAAGTAATTAGGTAGTTATAAAGTTTAAATTATAATTAAAATTATTACGTCATAGGTTTAAATAAATGTTATCTATAATGACATTATTAATCCAGTCGTTTGTAATACCTTTGTATTAAAGAGATAAATAGAAAGTTACGGACTGGATAGTTTAATTTAGAATACCATGTCCTAAACATGCTAAGTAGTAATAACTCGGCGACTTGAAGTCTAATTGAGAAAATATGGACAAAGTTAAACCGTTGTAGTTGTATGAGAGGGTTAATGTTCATTGAAATTCCATTTCAAAATCACTACACACGTAAACTGTAATGTTAGTAAGTTTATACATAAATGTCTATAGAAATATTTTTCACGTTTTTTGATAATTCTATCAATGTTCATTGCAGAAACGTATTTCCGAAAATATAATTACGCTTGTAGAGTTTTCTTTTTGGACTTAGCAAATAAGTGTGTCATTTCAAAACTGGTATATAGGTACTTGTTCACAATAACTAAGTATTGTTCAGAATCCAGCACGCATTCATTATGTACTTAAAATAGTCAACTGTTAATGGTAAACTGACCTGATAGGTTTTATTTATATTGTTCTGCTAGTAAAATATATCATCATTCCAACAAAATGTTAAGTCATTTCAATGAGAGAAGTCCTCTATGGGACACTAATTGTTAGATATGTTTGTGTCATTATCTCAAAAACAACTGTGTTGTATGTAACTTATAAAGTTTGTTAATAAAGATGTATTGCATAAGGTAACAGTTTGTTTCATATGGCTCTTTAATGAGGGGCATTTTCCTATTCTTGCACATTATTGAACAATGAAAGGATTCAGCATACGCCCCTCAGAATCTAAAATAAATGGTCTTATATCTACTACCAAGTGGATATTGCAAAGTAAATCCCTGAAGCTCAATATTTATTGCTTTCGATAAGCGACTACGGTAAGCACTCCTTCCAACTTTAGGGAGTAATATCTGTTTGAAACAGAACCAACACGACTAAAGTGGAATATTTAATTTACTGAACCTATATATGTTGTAAGTATAATTAAATCCGAAATTTTCCGGAAAGAAGTTCTTCGCAGAGAAAATGAGGTAGGTTATGTCATTTTTATATTTACAATTTATTAAATTTAGTAAGCGCAGGATGTTGCTCTCCACGGGTGCGTGTGTTTACTTGCTCGATCAGTATTTTCTCCTGAAGAATTATTACCGCCATTCCTTCATCGCCGATTTTATCAATACGCTCGTCCCTTTCTGAGCTTTTTTCAAACAATTTACTTCATATGTAATACAATTTTTGCTATA